CCTCTGCTACCCCATCAGCTTAATCCGCTCTACCAAATCATTTCAATCAACATGCTCTAATAGCTCCTATTTTAAAATCAAAACAAGCTTCCCTCAATCCCACATTTCCCTCTAGCTAATGCCCCATTTCTTTGTCTTGCTTTCTATCAACACTCCTGCAAATCATTGGCTCTATCCCCTTTTCCCTAATTCCTCTCCTCTCCTATTCTCTTAAGCTCACTGCATTCAGGCTTCTAGCACCATCACTCCACAAACAAGATTCTCACTGAGGCTCCTGAGAACCTTCTACTGCTAAACCTAATGACTCAGTCCTCCCTTTACCCAGTGCTCCCCTTACTCAAGCCATCAGCAGCAACTGAGTAACTCCTTCCTGAAATACTTTTCTTCATTTGGCTTCTGGGCCCTCACTCTCGTTCTCCTCCTACTTCATTTTCTGTCTCTTTGGTTAGTCTCTTCTCATCTCCCTGACATGAAAATCAGTGTTCCAGGGCTCTGCTTTCAGAGCCTAGAGCCTCTAGTCTCATGGATTTAAATACCTCCTACATGGGGTGCCTGGGTGGCTCAGTCAGTTAAGCATCTGATTTCAGCTCAGTCACGATCTCATGGCTTGTGAGTTTGAGCCCCGCATCAGGCTCTGTACTGACACTTCGGAGTCTGGGGCCTGCTTTGGATTCTGTGTCTCCCTCTCGCTCTCTGCCCCTTCCCCACTCATGTTGTCTCTCTCTCAAAAATACATAAACATGAAAATACACACATACATACGTCCTACAAAATGATGACTCCCAAATGCTTTAGCCCAGACCTCTCCCTAGACTACAGATGACTGTATCCAACCACCTACCCGCTCAGAGGTCTATTAAGTATCCCAAACTTGCATGTCCAAAATCAACCTCCTAATTCATCCTCCGCAGCCTCCCAAAAACTATGCTTCTCTCATACTACTTCCTAGCTCAGTATGTGAACAGTCTGTACTTCCAAAATTCTGGGATCTCATAAACTTCATCCAATCCATCAGTAAATCCTGTCAACACTACCTCTACACTACAGTGACCCAAGGCACCATGATCCCTCAGCAAAATGACTGCAACAGGCTTCTATAGTGGACACTTTTGTGTCTCATGTCATGTCCTGTCAGCCTGCCAGACTTCAGCACAGCCTTGGTGGACAGCTCCATTAGCACCACCAGTGTTCCGACTTAAAGCACACCTGGAGTCTTCATTTTTTGTTCCACACAATCTCAGCTGGCTCACTACGGCAACCTTGAAGTGCAGAGGAAGAGTTATTGCCTTTAAGGGCAACCTTCAACCAACTGGGGCAGGAATCAGTGGAGACAAGCCCCAGTTCCCCACACTTAGATGAAATGGGAAGAAGAGGGAGAAGCAACAAGGGAACAATTCTGCTAACTGAACTTCTAGCCCTTGCTCCTCTACAATCTGTTCTCCAAGCTAAGTCAGAGCATGTTACTCTCCCACTTAAGACCTTCCAATGACTCCTCAATGCCTTGTGGATAAAGTCCAAACTAGGATGTATCCTCTCAGCTTCCCTTGGAGCATGTGGCTATTTATCCCTATGAACAGCACATATCCCACTCATAAATACTAGAACACTCTGTTCTCTGGTCTGTGCCACTTTACAAACTGAAGTCCAACAGCTGTCCTCAGGGTAACGCGTAGTGTCTGGCAAATCACAGATGCACAACAAATACTTATATTTATTCAATTAACAAATGTCCTTGGGATGCATGATGTGAGACAGTGCTTCGACAAAATCACCTCTTGGCAGCAGTATGGAGTACCTGAATCGCTGACAGACTCAGAAATGACACTTCATCAACAATTTACTCTGAATGTTCCCATTATTCGCTCTATCCTGAGCCTGAATTCAAAAAAGTAAGATGTGGTTTTATAAGCTATGCAAATGCAAAGCATTTTAACACCATACCCCCATCGCTGAGTTCCAGAACAGACTCCTGATCTAGATCCAAACCTATTATAGTGAGCTTCTGATGTCTAATGGACATATAACATTACTATAAGCTTCTGATGTATAACAATTTAATGAAACAGTCACCTCCCTAAGAGCAAGGACAGTGTCTTACTTTATTCACCGTTATACTCATAATATCTAGCCCAATAATTATTAATAGCTCATATATAGAGTACTTACTAAAGTAGAGGTAATGTTTTAACTCTTAACAAAGACTCTTTCATTTTATCCTCTCAACAACCCAATAGGTGGGCACTAGAATTACATTTACAGACATGAAGAAGAGGCACAGGGAGGATAACAAAAGGCCATGCAGCTAGGAAGTGGTGAAGCCGAGTCAATTCCAGGTAGTCTGGCCTCAGACTCCTATCCTTCACCACCCTTCAGTGATTTTGCTACACTGCCTCTTAGTAACTAGCACCGAACTTTTCAGTGAATGAAGAATGAATGTACAGTTTTCCCGCTGATAAATGCATATAATCAATTTGTATCAAGCACCACACTCTCCAGAGATTAGAAGCACACCTCTGAAAATAAACATCAAATGTTAATATATCTCTTTTCAGAGCTGACCACCACAGCACGTCACCTACTTCTGGCTCTTTTATTTCCCTCTTTTCAAATAAATTGCTCTTCCATAAGTTTCTCTTCCGTAAAATGCCTTCCAGAGAGCTTCCATAAATTCTTTCAGGTTGCAACTCAGAAAAAAAGCACACTCTCAAAGCCCTGTTTCCACATACCGTTGAAGAGACACCCCCGAGCTTAATTGTCTCCACTGTGGTCCCTGAATCTTCAACAGCGGCCTTCTTCTCCGGAGGCATGGATGTGCCAGGCTCTCCAGCTGCTCTTTTATTTCCAATTCCGGACATCTTGGCGCCAGATGACAGCAGTTTTCCTGGAGAGGGGGAAAACAAACAAACCAACCAACAGAAACTTAGGTAAGATATACAAAAAGAGTAACAATAAAGACAATCTATAATGTAAAACCTAGCAATTTTCCAGCCAGCCTTTTTAAACCTAAATCCATTCATTTCATACCAAGCAATACAATCCCCAAACTCCTCTTGGAAAGAGAAAAGTAAATTGTAGAGTAAGAGTCAGGGCTGAATTTACACAACTACCAATTTCTAAACAGAATACTAACAAATAAGACAATGGGCAAAGGATGAAGAGACCAGGGAAAATGCCAGAAATTTCACTTCCTGAAATGCCAGAATCAGAAAAATAGTTTGATCAGGACAGGACCTAATTCTATTGTGCTGGAAAAAATCACAGAGCTGAAAGACACTTGGGAAATATCCGCTAAAGCATTAATATTGAATAAGTCATGTATCATCTCTGAGACCCAATTTCCTAAACCAGGAATTACTGTGCCTCTTACAAGGAATTAATACGTCTAGAAAGAACTTACTATAATGCCTGACACGAAGAACTCAAATACTAGCTCTCTTTTTCATATTTAGTTTCTCCCCTATTTCCAAATGTTCTCCTCGTGATTTTGTGCAACGCTACAGAACCTAGATCTGAGTGTGAATCACAATTCTACCTCTTAGGGAGCCTTGTGTTGCCCTCAAGGAATTCTCCAAGAGCCTCAGTTTCCTCCTATGTACAGTGGAGGCAAATAAATATTCTCTCTACCTAAACTGCTTCCAAGGGTTTCAGAGCTCAACGGAGGAGAGATGAACGCTAAGGCACTTTGCTACTTTAGAAAGCAGCCCTGCCATCACCAAGAGTACACGCTACTCTGCTTCCAATTCACACTCCAGGAGAAAGGGTATCGGTGGCAGTAACCTGAGTCGGACCTCACCTAGAGAGAGGAGACTAAGGAGCAAGACAAGGACCCCAGCCTCCCGCGCGCCCAACTGCAGGCCCAGGAGAGGGAAACCCCACAGCCAGAGACGGCGGAGATTCCCGAGGACCCGCACAGTCCCGCAGCGCCGTTAGCCGAGATCTCACCTAGGTTCTTCCAACTCGCGCCGCCGGGGAGTGGAACTCAGGGAAGTTATTCACCAGGGTCCTTTCTGCAGCAGTACTTCTCACCCCCGACCCGCAGGCGAGGACCCATAGAAGCTTCCGGGGGGCGGGGCCAGGTAAAGGAAGAAGGGAAAGAAAAAGAGGATGTCGCTTCGATCCGGCCGGGCGGAAGTGACGCACCGCGAGGGCGCCGAGCGCCCGGAAGTAAGAATAGCGTCTGTAGCAACGCGAGGCGGCTGGGACCTCCGGGTGTACACCACTCTCTCCAGTCCCCGGCCCCCGGCCCTCCGCGCTGTCGCTGGCGAGAGTGTCCCTGACTTTATCGGCTTGTTGGCCTCTATTAATACGATCTAGTGTTTCTACTGAAAAAAAGTGCGTTGCTCTGTTGCCTCTTACTGGCACCGTCGAGACTCGTTCAGACTGCCGATTGGCTGACGGTCCCGTCAATCTCCCCGCGAAAGCATTAGCCTCAGGCACTTCAGGAAAATGTTACTCCGCGCCTATTAACGCAGAAGTAAAGCGTTCTGGAGAAAATCCAAACTATTAGATGGGTTTCGGGGCTTGTAGTTTTTCTTACAGGGAATTATATACAGCCCTCCCTACACATTATAATTACTTGGGACTTTGGTCCCTCTAGGTTAGGGCCTGCATTGGGCAATTTTTAAAGCGTTCCTCTACCCCTTTTCCACCTCCATGATTCTGAGGTGCAACAGGGTTGACAGCTACTGCTTTTTTGCTTCTTTGGAACAAGACATTGACCAGAGAAAAGATAAGAAACATAAATCAGTAAGTAGTTTCTGATCAACATTAGTCTAGTTTAAGCTAATTAGACATTTTTTTTTATTCAATAAAATTATTTCACGTTCAATTAAACTAAATGCCTGTCTTTTTAATGATGGAAAAGTAATCAATCTAACTTGCCAATAAAAAGCTGTATGCCTCACACAACTATGAACTACCCAATGACATCTGATAGGGGTCCAGAGATCAAGAACGATTACTGTATCTGTTGCATCCACACGACTCCTCAAACAGAATGCTACGGGCACCAGAGACGTTCAGTTTATTGCAAGGAGAGGCAAGGCAAAACGATCCATCAGGACCGACACTCCTGACCAGAGTGCAGTCTCGAACAGCCAGGGTACATTGTTTTTATAGCCAACCACATCGTATTATTATCACCTGGGAACAGAACAAAGGAATAGTTCCCAGGTGGAAACAGTTCAAACAGGCCCTTGCCCCAATCCAATCAAGCGCTAATCCATCCCTTGATTGACAGGATAAGGCTGTTATCTCTTAACCTACAGAGTTAAAACAATAGATGTTATCTCTTAAGGCTACAGGTTAGCCCTATCCTTACATTTCCCTTTTCTTGTCCGGGAATCAATCCCTTGATTCATCATTAGGAACTAAGCCAACATAGTGGGACCTAATCATAAATTTTTATTTCACCAACTCACCTCTTGACATACTGTACTAACCAATTGATAGTGCATGGGCCGATAGTTAACCCGAGAAGTAACAATAGCAGTGGCCCAGCTATGGTGGGGAGCAGCGATGTGAGCCAGGCAGACCAAGGGTGATACTAATTATTGCTGGCCTCCCTGGCATGTTCCCTGGCTCTAAGATTGTTCCTTACTAAACTCAGTGTCTCGAATTACTCTGGAATTGTTGGCATGAGACACTATGCACCAACCCTGCCCTTGGAGGTCCCTGTAGGGTTAAAATTGGTCGTGAACCCCAAGTGCACAATGACATCATACATTCGGAGGCCCCAAGTGTGCCAGTATCTCAGAATGATGAGAAAATAGATGAGCTGGTGTTGGGTTACATTTTCCTTGGGCCGCACATTGGGGGTTCGGGGTTCTAAGAGTAATTAGGGGGTCAAGGTCCTGTCCTGTTAACCAGGGGGCTAGCATCTCACAACCCCACTTGGCACCGTGGTATTAACCCTCTCCTTCCCATTTTTTCTATCTGCATCTTAGCCAAATTTCGCTCTAGTGCCCTATTTCCTCATCCACAATTGTTCTCCCCAATGTTCCTGAGAGCTCTTGCCCAGGTTTGCAACCCCCATTCTTCTACCAGGTCACATAGGTCGAACAAGAAACAAAGCATAGTACTCGAGGCTTTAGATGTTACCACCTTCCCTGTGACAGGGTCACAGGTATGGCCAATAAGACAAGGGGTGCAGTTCTGCACAGTCTCCCAAGCTTATTATACAAACCCAGACAACGGTTATTCCCGCATCAGTCTTATCTTTAAAGGATCCTCTGGGTGCTTTTTGACCTTCCGTCACTGTTCGTTCTCTGGTCCCGTATCAGTCCTGGGTGTTTCCGCCTCCGTGCAGTTTTTCTTAACCTGAAAGTGATGAATCCAGGTTCGGACACCGTCTATCTTCACAGCCGTTGGTGTAGTCAGGATCACGGTGTGTGGTCCTTTCCAGCGTGGCTCCAGGGTTTTAGGTTCATACCTCTTGACCCAAACTAAGTCTCCTGGTTCAAAGGGTGGGGAAGTACAGGAGGATGGGCAAAGGCTTCTTTCAAGGCCTTGGTTATTTCCTTTTGTACAAGATGCAGGGCCAAGAGTGAAGCCAACAAGTGGTCCTGTTCTAGCTGTTCCTTTATGTCGTCCCCTAGCCTTGGCAAGGTCTGCCAAATAAGATTTTGTAAGGGGACAATCCCTTGAGAAATGGAGTACAACGTGCTCGCAAAAGGGCAAAAGGCAAAACATTTTGCCAATTTTCGCCAGTCTCAAGGGACAATTTGGTTAAGGTCTCCTTTAGAGTCTGAGTCATCCTTTCGACTTGACCCGAGCTCTGGGGTCTATAATGCACAATGTAATTTCCAATTTATTCCCAATGCTCTGGCTAGACCCTGCGATACCTGTGCCCTGAAGGCTAGGCCATTGTCCAGTCCTATGCTCAGAGGCAGCCTGAATCTAGGCATTAGTTCATTTAATAATTTTTTTTTTAACTGTCACCTGAGCCATTTCTGATTTAGTGGGGAACACCTCAACCCACCTGGAAAAGGTGTCCACAAAAACAAGCAGATATTTGTCTCTGTATTTCCCTGGTTTAATTTCAGTAAAATCCACTTCCCAAAACCGGCCTGGCTCAGTTCCTCTATCTCTTTTAGCTTCTGAAACCTTATTTGCACCCTGATTTACTTGGGCGCAACTTACACATCTTTCAACCGTCTTCTCAATCTCTTTTCCCAGCCCTTGCACCCTGAACTTTTTCTGCACCAATTCTGCCATCTTTGTTTTTCCCAGATGAGTCCCTTGGTGGAGCAGACACACCATGCGTCGCCCAAGTACAACAGGTAAGAGTATCTTACCTTCAGGATCCTGAACCCACTTTCGTCCTGGTATCATACTTCCTGAATGATCAGGAGTCTCGCAGGTTCCCAGATGGCTGTTAGAAGGTGTAGAATTTCGGCTTTATTTTTGATGTCCTTGCCCTCTGCTGTGAGGAGGTCGCGCTCTTGATAGATGGACCGTGTACATGCACAGTTGCAAAGTCATTAGTTGCAAAGACTTGTTTTTACCCAAGTTTCAGGGCTTTAGTTAGCACGATGAGTTCTGCGAGCTGGGCTGAGGTTCCCAGGGGAAGGGTCTGTTGCCATAGAACCTCGCGGTCTGTGGTAACTGCAGCACCGGCATGCCTTTGCCCTTGAAACACAAAACTACTGCCGTCTGAAAACATGTTGATAGCAGGATCCTGTAGGGGAACGTCTGTGAGATCAGAGCACAGGGACGAAACTGTCGCTAAGTCTCTGGGCAAGAATGTAGAGGGGGACCTAGTCCTTCGGGCAGCAAAGTAGCTGGGTTTAAGGCTGCGGGGGCACAAAAAATGTATCTGGGGCTGGTCGAGCAGCAATGCCTGATGCTGGGTAATCCGGGCATTTGATAGCCACTGTTCTGGGGGAGCCCGCAGTAAGGCCTCCACTTCATGGGGCCCCGTAACAGACAACGTCTGTCCCAGGGTTAGTTTATCTGCGTCTTTTACTAGTAGCATGGTGGCAGCAATCTGTCGAACACACGTGGGCCACCGGGAAGCAACTGGGTCTAGCCTTTTGGCTAAATAGTGCCTGGGACCTTGGCGCCAACCAGTGGCCTGAGTCAGAACTCCCTTGGCTACCCCCCCTTTCTGGGCTACAAACAGATGGAATGGCTTAGTGGGATCTGGCAGGTCCAAGGCTGGTGGGGTCATGAGAGTCTCTCAAAGCTTGGAAGGCTTTAGTTTGAGTCTCCCCCCATGTGAGGGACTCCGGAGACCCCTTGAGAGTGGCATACAAAGGGGCTGCCAGTTCAGCAAAGCCAGGTATCCATAGTCTGCAGTAGCCTGCTGCCCCCAGGAACTCGTGAACTTGTTTGCAAGTTTTAGTATGAGACAGAGTCACCGAGATAGCACGTACCTTTTTAATGTTGTAACCTAAATGAGTGACCGCAGTGAGACAGATCTACATTTTGGCTGATACTCAGTATCCCAGTTTTTGCAGAAGACTGAAGAGTTCCTTGGTGGCACTCAGGCATTCTGAATTAGAAGGGGCCACTAGCAAGATCTCAACATACTGCAACAGAGTTACCTGCGGTTTGGAGATTTGAAATGGTTCTAAATCCTGGTGCAGGGCTTCATTAAGAAGAGTAGGGGAGTTTTTTGAATCCCTGGGGAAGTCACCTCCAGGTGAACTGTCCGGCTTTTCCCTCTTCAGGATTGGTCCATTCAAATGCCAACAGTGGCTGGCTCTGTGGGGCCAGCAGGATGGCAAAGAAGGAGTCTTTTAAGTCCAGAACTGTATAATACACCTGAGAAGGGGGAAGCAGACTAAGGAGATTATACGGGTTGGGTACAGTGGGATGAATATCCACTACTCTGGAGTTTACTGATCTCAGGTCATGGACTGGCCGAAAATCGGATGAGTTAGACAGGGAGAAGTGAAGTATTCCATGACGACTTGCATGGGGTCAGAATGCCCGAGTTGTGCAAACGCTTGATGTGAACAGAGATTCCCCGCCTAGCCTCCCGGAACATAGGAGATTGTTTCAGTCTTACCGGAAGCGCAGACGCCTTAAGTTCCACAGTTATCGGGGCTTGATGAATCACTAGTCCAGGTGGATTGATCTCGGCCCATACCTGGGGAAAGTCTGCCTGGAGCCTTTCAAGCAGGGGATCGACTGTGTGAACATTTTCATTGGGCACCGGGGTAAATAGGCCCTCTTCCCCAAGTGGCACAGTCACCATTACTATTGTTGGGCCATCCTGGCCGAATTTAACATGCATGCCCCCTTCAGTGAATCTCAAAGAGGCAGTTAGTTTATATAATAGGTCTCTACTCAGTAATCCAGGGTAGGGGCATTCAGGCATGATTAGGAAAGAATGTGTAACAGTTTTACGGCCTAAATCTACTTGTCGTTCAGTGGTTCATTTACAAGTTTGGGACCCAGTCACTCCTTGCACTAGGATTGCTCCTCGCCTGGTGGGGCCAGGATCTTGTTTTAGAACGGAATAGCTTGCCCCAGTGTCCACCAAGAAGGTCTTTGGCTGGTCCCCTATATTAACAGTAACCAATGGCTCAGAAGGGGCCACCAAGCCGCGGCCCTGTCAGTTGGAATCAGCTTCCATTACAGACACCTGGGGTGGCCGAGTTTTACGCAAGGCTATTGGGGCAATCCTTTTTCCAGTGTCCCTCTCGCTTGCAATATGCACATCGGTTTTTTCCTAGTGGCACTCTAACCCTGCGTCTTTTTTCTTTTTCCCCAGACCAGAATTCTTTGGGTGTTTGGGGTCCCCTTCCCTCGCGGGCATCCAGGACGGCCGCTACCACCCTAGTCAATTTTTCTGTCCGTCTCTCTTCCCGAGAATCCCTATTGTTAAAAACTTTTTGGGCTATTTCAACTAACTCAGATGAATTTTTTCCCTTCAAACCCATCTAATCTTTGCAATTTCTTCCGAATGCCTGGGGCTGCCTGTGAGCCAAAGGCCAGGTTTAATGCCCTTCTATTTTCAGGTGCCTCAGGGTCAATAGGGGTAAAGGTACGGGACGCTTCCATGAGCCTTTCTAAGAAGGCTGAGGGGCTCTCCTCAGTCCCTTGAACTACTTCAGTTACCTTAGACTTGTTTGTGGGCCGGCGGGCAGCCGCTCAGAGACCTCCCAGTAGAGTCTGGCGGAATAGGGTCAATGATTGCCTACCGTGAGGAGTGTTTGGATCCCAATCTTCAGGGTGCGAGGAAAGAAAGACTTCCTTGAGTAAGGCGGGATCCTCGGTGGGATGCCCGTTTGGCCCCATCACCAATTTCCAGGCCTCACGTACAGATCTTATCCCATTCCTCGGTAGTGAAGAGAGCCTGCAAGAGCTGGCAGTCATCCCAGGTTGGCTGATGGGTCACAAATATAGTTTCAAGGAGAGAAATTAATGCTTGGGGTTTTTCTGAGAACGGGGGGGGGGGGGGGTTTGAAGCTTCCAGTTATAAAGGCCGCTAGTGGAAAAGGATACATAAATCATAAAGGGTCGGACATCACCCTGCAGGGGTGGCCCTGGCCGAAGGAGTAAGGCAGCGAGAGGGGGATGGAAGGAGGTTCCTGACTGGGTGTGAGACAGGCTCAGGGGAGTGTCCCGACTTGGGCTTGCCTCGTATTCTCTGCTCGAGAACTATAGGGCCATTTACAAGTTTCTTCTTCTTCCTCCGGTGCAGATGGTAAAGGGGGCGGCCGCTTCGTCCCGTCAAAATTCTTATCAGGTGGACGGCCTTTAAGTGGCAAAACCTGTGCTTTAGGGAGGTGAGGGGGAAGGAAAGGTTTTAGCCAATCTGGAGGGTTTTCAGTGAGGGTTCTCCATGCCTCAATGTATGGGATTTTATCTTTCCGTGCCTAGAATAGACAATAGCATGAACCTTATGTACCAGAGTAAGGTCAAAGGACCCCTGAGGAGGCCATTCAACCTGAAAGCTGGTCCATTCAACCTCGCAGAGTTCGAAGGACTGGCTTCTTGACATGGAAGCCGAGAATTGAGGCAGCTTTCCATAGTCCTGGAAATGGGCTAGTATGAGACTCTGAGAGGTGGGGGTACTCTGATTTTGACCCATGACAAAGATAGGCAGAACCAAGAAGGATGCTCAGACAATCAACAGAAAGAAAACAATTAGGCAAAACTAAGTAGGATGCACAACCAACAGAAAGAAAATAATTAGGCAAAACCAAGTAGGATGCACAATCAACAGAAAGAAAATAATTAAGACATGAACAGAACACATGTTCGAGATCTCGAAGCCAGTGGGCCGCGGCAGCCACATAAAAATAGGATCTTTTCTAACAAAAACCAAGCCAAATGGGATCCACCGGCATCCCTGTAGGAACCCTGACTCTGGGTCTATAGCCGTGTCCAGCAGACCCTTCTTGAGTCATTCAAATGGTGCGCCCCAATCCTTACCTCTCCCAATCCTGAGCCTCCTTCCAGGGGTCAGTGGAGCAATCCGAGGAAAGGGCCCTCTTTCAGACCTTTAACTTTCCTGGCCAACACACCAAATGTTGTATCCACACGACTCCTGAAACAGAATGCTACAGGCACCAGTGACAGTCACAACAAAGTTTATTGCAATGAGAGGCAAGGCAAACTGATCGATCAGGACGATGCTCTTGACCAGAGTGTGGTCTCGAACAGCCAGGGTACCTTGTTTTTATAGCCGACCACATCGTATTATTATCACCTGGGAACAGAACAAAGGACTAGTTCCCAGGTGGAAACAGTTCAAACAGGCCCTTGCCCCAATCCAATCAAGGGCTAATCCATCCCTTGATTGATAGGATAAGGCTGTTATCTCTTAACCTATAGTGTTAAAACAAAGATGTTATCTCTTAAGGCTACAGTTAGCCTTATCCTTACAGTATCTTTAAAAAAATAAGAAAGTAAGGAAGGAAGGGAAAAAGACCCAGTGGAATTTAGGCAGCTTTGAAAAAAGGATCAAACCTAGTCCATGTTGGATTTCTAGTAGTATGAAGACTTTGGTCCCTGTACCCACAGGGTCTTACCTGTGCACGAAGTGAGAAAGTAAACAAGTGTTTGCGGTTCAGGTTATTAGAATAGTTTGCCTGGTCAGGAAAGGAGTAACTGGCTCCAAAAGAATTCAGATTTTACTAGGTGAAGCAGAAGCCTAAGGACTGTGTTTGGGGGCCTGAGATAAGGAAACTGAAGGACTCCATAAAAATCTGCTTTTTGCTTATTTTCTGCTTCTATTCTTGTTAGGACCTGCATCCCATCCCATTTTACATATGCTTTGTAATGCAAATAGCATATGTACTCCTTGTAAGGGACTAGGAGTTAAGGATTTCTCTAGTATAGATAACTACTAAGGAAGGACCGAGTGAGAATGACTGGGAGAGGCTATGATATACGTATTCCAGACCACCAGAGCTAAACATCTGAACACCAACACCCCCTAGCTCCAAGGAATAACACCTGAGACCTTGTCTTGTTCTAACTAGTTCCTGGATGCCTGAAGAGTGTAGCAAGATTCTCGCACAGAGAGACAGGACACAGGCTTTTCTGTCCGGGAAGCAACTTTGTCATGCCAGCATGAGCTCAGTGGGTTCTTACCTCAAAAACTGAGCCCCAAGCGCAGCAGGGTATAGCCTTTTATGCAATTTCTACTTGTCTCCCATATGGGGTGACATATAGTCTGATTGGACACAGTCCAAGTTACATAGTCATGTCACATTTATGTACATGTGTATAGGAGTTGATGGGGCCACGTTACCTTACTTTGTTCTGAGGAGGCCTCCACCACATCCCTTAGGGAGGGGCTCTACCACAAGAGGACACATACACCAGATCATACATAATCTCCAGTAAAACCCCCAGACCCCAAACAAAGACAAGATTCATACTCCTTTCCTTTCTGAGTTTCCTGGTATCTCCTATGCAGATACTCCATCTGTTTCTGCTCTCTTTATATCCTCATAAACTCTGCTCTCACCCCCTGCTAGCTCAGAGTTTGATTTCCATCCTTCGAGAAGCCAAGGATCCTCTTGGCTGGTCCTGAGGGAAAACTCTGGGGTCCTACTGGCATCAGACCCACCTGCTGAAATGTATTGTGTGAGATAATGACACTGATTCTCCCACCTTCCTCCTTTGGCTGCTCTTCTATTGGCAAGCCTTGCATTCAGAGAACCACTAAATGACAAGCAATGGTTCTTCTAGCCTAAAGCTTGTAAACTAGAGTTTCACAGGCTGTATTTAGTCAACAGATAAGCTTTGTTTGTTTTGGGCAGTATTGGCTGTCCTTTGTGGTTAAAAACAAAATCCAACATTTAAAATAGGATATTTGACATAAAAATGCAGATTATCAACTTCTCTTGAAAATGTTGAAACTCTAGCATCTTCATATTCTTATATTCTGTGGTCATGTTGACTAGGGCTGAGTTGTGCTTCCTCTTTTAGTTCTGTTTACTGTAATCCCCACTAATACCAGTTCCCTCACACTAATTGAGTTTCGTTTGGGTGTCATCACCTGTGTGTCCTACTATGACAAATCAATCGCTGATTGTAAATGAACATTGTTGGTTGCCTACCCAGAATCCATCCCCCCCCCCTCACTTTCTTAATAGAACACAAGCAGGATTTTATTCAAGTATCCATTTAGCCCCCTTCATTCCCTATGTTTTAGAGAAAGCTAACTTCACTTTCATCTCCAAAGATTGTCTTAATATAAACAGTCTCATTCCCCATGCAAAGTCCTAGTCTTTTTTTGTAATTATTTTTAATTTTTTTTAATGTTTATTTATTTTTGAGACAGAGAGAGACAGAGCATGAATGGGGGGAGGGTCAGAGAGAGAGGGAGACACAGAATCGGAAGCAGGCTCCAGGCTCTGAGCTGTCAGCACAGAGCCTGACGCGGGGCTCGAACTCGTGAACCACGAGATCATGACCTGAGCCGAAGTCGGACACTTAACCGACTGAGCCACCCAGGCGCCCCAACAAAGTCCTAGTCTTAACAGTGGACAGTTTAATCAGGGTTAATTGCTTAGACTACTACAACCAAAGCAGTTTACTTCTGATTTTTTTTGTGTGAGAACTGAAACTGCTGGAGCCTTCTTGCCAACAAGCTTAATAATGAAGCCAACACAGAGGTGGGAAGATCTAAGAGAATCTCAGAGAAATGGTGAGGACACTCCTCACTTCAACCCACACTTCGGAGAAAAACTGAGAAGAGGGCACATCTTTGTAGAACCTTTCAATTCTAATCATGTAGATAACCATATCCTCCAGCTACTGGTAAACTACTTTTTCTGAAAGTCCCAGTCAGCCATCTGACACCTTGAGAATAAGACTTTTTACTTTACATCTGAAGTAGATGCCCTGATTCAAACAGGTAGCCTCACCATAAAGAATTGGGGATACGCAATAGATAAAGTGGAGGATGGCAGAGACCTCTCTCAAAGAACATATTCCCTATTTATAACCAGCAACCTCCTAATCAACATCTTAATCGAGAGGGAAAAGAATAGTCCTAGAAGAATAAGTTTGGCCCTCATGAACAGTAGACCAGCATTTGCTATTCTGTCCTATGGCCTGTCTTTGTTAACTACACAATTCTGCCATGAGGTGGCAGCAGGTGACATGCTTTCATCCCCAGTTTCTCTCCTAAAGCTTCACTGCCGAGTACCCTACTGTATTACTCTTTGGTCACATCTTCAATTTCACTCTTAGAAACCTGGCCAACTACTTACGGTGAGCTTAATGCTCTCCTAAAGGACAAAATTAAGATGCTTAGGATTTTTTAGTTACCATTTGTCTATGCTCCCTGCAAATGCTCCGCTAGAAGATTATTATTTTATCTCTATGCATTCAAATATTCCATGAACTCTAGATTGGGCTATTTGTATGCTAAACATAATTCCTTTACTTATCCTTACTTTTAGTCAAGTATTTTATCTAGTGTGACATCACTTGTCAACTATAAGCATATAGGTTCCATGGCCCCTGGTCTAGACTTAGTGAATCAGAATCTCCAGAGGAAAATTCTCTGGAAATGCAAGTTCTTACTTTTGTTAACTATGCCCCCCTTAGGGACACATTTGAGAACACTGCCCCAAGTGAGGCTATCCAGCCCTGCCTGACTGAGAGTGTTCTGCAGAAAAGAGTTCCCTCCTCTTGTCCTCAGCTTTCCCCTCCCTCATAGACATTCAGCATTGCCACGTCTTTCTTCTTCCCCACACTTCTGTCTTCTCCCCAGATCACCGAGCCTACTATGTTATGCCCTCTTTGTACGATTTCTGCAGATCATGCTTGTGGCTTTAGTCCAGGGAGCCAGCAATCTTGAGAGCTGATATAGTCACAAATTTTCAGAGAAGCCACCCTTCACTTTATACTCTCCTAAAAAGCTACATTGTGTCTGTTACAGTCACAAAATTGGTCTTCTACGTTTCTATGCCATGTGACATTCTATGTTTACATTACTAATATTTTTATAATTTTGATCTCTACTATGTCGGCAGCACACCACAGCATCCACTGGATGACCAAAGGATAGGGATAAGCAGTGCTGGAGGTCCAAAACTATGACTTCAAAGAATGTCACTTTGGAGTCTTGCTAAGAGACACAGAGGTCTGGGCCTCTTGCAAATGGATGTGGAGTCTTGCTGAAAGGTGGTCCTATTCCCAGCACACAGGCACTCTCGTGATCCCTCAGATGGTGATTCGTTAAGAGATTATTGTATTTTACTCCAAAGTTATGGGCTGTTTTTACCCTTGCAGAGGGGAGGATGGAAGAAGTGTCCATTACCCAATACTTTTTTTTTCTTTTTTAATTTATTTTGAGAGCACAAGAAAGAGAGCACGAGCAGGGCAGGTGCAGAGAGAGAGGGAGAGAGAGAATCCCATACAGGATTCTAGGCAGCGCAGAGCCCAACAAGAAGCTCAATCCCACGAACTGTGAGATCATGACCTGAACTGAAATCAAGATTCAGACGCTCAACGGACTGAGCCACTCAGGCTCCCCTTTTATTTACTAATTTATTTTTATTACCAACACTTTTCAACAACCCAGTGCTATGGACTGAATTGTGTCCCCCCAAAACTCATGCGATCCCCAACCCAATGTTGTTGCAGGATTTTTTTACCACCATACCCAGGATTCATTGCTCCCACTTCGAAGAATGAAGTAGTGGACACAAAATGAGCAGCAGGCAAAAGGTTATTAGCATACCTCCTTTTCTATTGTCCTTTCTTATTGCTTTCTGGAGAAACTTCAATCTGCTGTTCCTCAGCTTTATCCATTCTGCTATTTCACCTATTTTTCATACCTAATATTTCTCCTTAATTCCATTTTTGTTTACATTTCTTCTTCTTTGATATTAACATCTTCTCTTATCTCTTTTAGTATGTTTACTAAAAGTAGTATGTTTACTACTTTAAAATTGCTGGTCTATTTGCTCTGTTACCTTGTGATAGAATTTATAATCCAGCATATTCCTTGTGGTTTCTTTTGGTTGTTTTTGTTTTTTTGTTTTTTGATGTTTAATTTATTTTTTAGAGAGAGTGAGTAAGTACAAGAGGAATAGACAGACAGGATCAGAGGATCTGCGCTGACAGCAGAGAGCCCAATGTGGGGCTTGAACTCACAAACCGTGAGATCATGACCTGAGCTGAAGTCAGAAACTTAACCAACTGAGCCACCCAGAAGCCCATGTCTTTCTTTTGAAATAGTTATTCTTCTGGGGCGCCTGGGTGGCTCAGTTGGCTAAGCTTCCGACTTCAACTCAGGTCATGATGTCACAGTTCATGGGTTCAACCCCGCATCAGGGCTCGGATTCTGTGTCTCCCTCTCTCTCTGCCCCATCCCCACTCATGCTCTATCTCTCTCTGTCTTAAAAATAAATAAAACATTTAAAAAAATTGAAATAGTTATTCTTCTCCAATGTCATGTTATTTTGGCCTGTGGGCTTATTTTCCCCTGTGTATGTATCAGGCAACATACCAGGGAGAAGGACAGTCCTCATGTCAGCTCCTGGTTACCGTGAAATGAGTGGAGAGCCCTGGCACCAAATACATCTGAGCTAATCACATTCACTTTTCAAAATAATTTCTCAGGTCAAAGCTCCAACTTTTCCTCCCAGGGTGAAAAGCATTTGGGAGAGATACTTTCAAAACTGTTGCTCACTGGTCCTGGAGTTTGGAAGGGGAAGGGCAGGAAAGTAATTGCTCAGAGGGAGTCAATCCCATCTATTTCCTCCTCACACACAGAAGACTCTGGCCCCACTGTGTAATCTTGACATCTGGGCCAGAGCCCCGAGTCCCCACAGGGAGAGGTACAGGCCAGCTGTGGGGCTAGTTCAGTGTCTTGTCAGGAACCACAGCAGAACCTACAGCCAGCCCATCTCCACTTCCCCTGCCTCCAGCTGCTTTCCATTCTGCAACATTCAGTTGCTCTTACCTCCTCACCCACTCATCCCTTATACCGACTTTGCCTTTATTCTATTTGCTCTTGAACTTTCTCCAGTCTGGCTTCTACCCCCAACACTCTACTGAGAGACTGCTGTCTTCAGCATCATAGTAGACTCCAGCCTTTTTGCTAATCCATGTTGTGTCCTCATCTTTAACACGTTGACACAATTAATTAATCCCTCCTTGAAGAACCTTCTCTTGGTTTCAATGATGCCATCACAGCATCCAACTTTTCTTCCTGCCTCACAGACTCTTCTTCTCAGGCTCATTTGATTGCTTCCTATACTACCACCTAACGGCTGTCAGATGGCCCTGAGCACTCAGTTGGCCATAGAAGGTAGATAGTGAAGGGGAGCCTGCCAGTAATTTTCATTCAATTTATAGCGATTAGAGTGGTCTTGTAAAAGCACATTTTTTAAAATATGAAATGTATTGTCAAATTGGTTTCCATACAACACCCAGTGCTCATCCCAACAGGTGCCCTCCTCCATACGCATCACCCACCCTCCCCCTAAAAGCACAAATTGAATAATGCTATCTCCTGGCTTCCCATTGCACTTGGAGTAAAATCGAATCATGTGGTTATGGCTTATAAGATTTGCATGGCCTGCTTACTCTCCCCACATACTCATTAAGCTCCGACTCTGTCCAGGCTCAGAGCTTTCTATTTTATTTTATTTTTTAAGTTTACTTATTTATTTTGAGAGAGAGGGAGAAAACACAAGTAGGGGAGGGGCAGAAGGAGAGGAAGAGAGAGAATCCCAAGCAGGCTCCTTGCTGTCAGTTATTTACCTCTCCTGGGATCATGACCTGAGCCAAAATCAAGAGTCAGACTTTTAACTGACTGAGCCACCCAAGGGGCCCCAGACCTTTCTATTTTAATTACTGCTATCTCTCTGGAACTTACGGTAGTGCCTGACAAATAGTAGATATTTGTAGTAAGCTGAATAATGGCCCCCAAAGATATCCACATTCTAATACCTGGAACCTGTAACTATGTTACTTTATATGGCAAAGAGACTTTGCAGATGTAATTAACTTAAGGACCTTGAGATGAGGAGATAAGAATGTTTGTGTGCCCCCAAAATTCATATGTTGAAACCCTAATCCCCCAAAGTGATGGTATTAGGAGGTGAGGCCTTTGGGAGGTGATTAAGTCATGAGGGCAGAGGGATTAGTGTCCTTACAAAAGAGACTCCAGAGAGCTGGCTTGCCCTTCTGCCATCTGAAGTTACAGTAAGAAGATGGCTATCAATGAGGAAGCTGGTCCTCACGAGACACCAAATTTGCCAACACCATGATCTTGGACTTCCAAGTGTTTGTTAGTCATAAACCACCAGTCTATGACAGTTTGTTACAGCAGCCCCAATGGACTAAAACAGGGAGAGTATCCTGGAATACCCTGGTGAGCTCTGAATGTAATCACAAGGGCTCTTAATAAGAGGGAGGCAGGAAGATTAAAGGAGGAAGAAAATGATGCGCTGATGGAAGAAGGGAAGAAAAGGCGATGTGATACATGGCCATGAGCCAAGAATGTGGGCAGCCTCTAGAATCTGGAAAAGATCAGGAAGCAGATTCTTCCCTGAAGCCTCCAGAAAGAACCAGCTCTGCTGACATCTTGATTTTGGTCCATAAGACAGACTTCTGACCTTCAGAATTGTAAGAGATTACATTTGTGTTTGTTTCAGATTTGTGGTAATGTGTTACAATAGCAATAGGAAACTAACCTAGTGCAGAAAGTATGGGTCAGAGGGTTGAATGAATTTAAAATATCATTGCTTTAGGGGCACCTGGGTGGCTCAGTCAGTTGAGTGTCCGACTTCAGCTCAGGTCATGATCTCACAGCTTGTGAGTTCGAGCCCTGCATTGGGCTCTGTGCTGACCACTCAGAGCCTGGAGCCTGCTTCAGATTCTGTGTCTCCCTCTCTCTCTCTGCCCTCCTCCGCTCATGCTCTGTCTCTCTCTGTCTCAAAAATAAATAAACATTAAAATATCATTGCTTTATATGTATGTCCAAATATGGTATCTCTGAGCCACCCCTCTCCAACGCAGAAACAGTCCCAGTCGGAGTGTCCTCTGGTTATTTTGGGGAATGAGTTCCCAACTACGGTTGTTCCTATGCCCCCATTAGTGAAAAGCGATGGGGAAAATGATGGAGACCTGACTTCACTACAAACAGTCTGTTCTATTTCTGACTCTGATCAGAGTGTCTCTTCCCAGGTTAGTGGGTAGGATGAGGCACATGCCATCCTGTTCCCTTTTGTTTTCCCTTGTCTTTGTTCACCCTGCCTCCAACCCAAATGTTCTCCTCTAGTTCCAAAATAAAAGCCTCAGCATTGCAATGATGCAAATACACGATGGTGGGAAATTGCAGTGAGGTCACTGCTGGCCTCAAACAGTCAAAAATGTCCTGTTACACACACACATACACACACACACACACTCCCCACAGATTGAGAGAGAGAGAAAGAGATGGGAACACAATAAAGATATTCATAACTGTTTAATTTGGCTTAGACTTTTTACTTTCAGTAAATTTTGATTTTCTTTTTACTTGACTGTACTTGTAAATTTTTCACAATGAGCATAAATTATTTGTAAAATAAGTAAACTTTGGGGTGCGTGGGTGGCTCAGTTGATTAAGTGTCAGACTTTGGCTCAGGTCATGATCTCATGGTTCGTGAGTTTGAGCTCGCATCAGGCTCTATGCTGACAGCTCAGAGCCTGGAGCCTGCTTTGGATTCTGTGTCTCCCTCTCTCTCTGCCCCTCCCCGGCTCACGCTCCCTCTCAAAAATAAATAAACATTTAAAAAACAAATAAAATAAAATAAGTCAACTTTATAACAGAAAATATGTCAATTAGGTACAACCTATTTTTAGAACCATGGTGGGGTTGCTACCAAGCCAAGAGTTTGACAAAAATATGAGAGGAATATAAATTGTAAGCACTGCAGCAGAGTCTTAATACAATCAGGTGATGGAAGTTAGTTAGTAATGCAAATTAGGCAACAAAAATTGTTTCTAAGAGGTGTGGACCAGCAAATCCCCAGTACACAGAGTGTCATCATGACCGTAACAGACTGCTTAGCATATACATAAGTGACATGAATCCTCATGGAAGCACCTCCGAGTCCTCAAACCCTGGTATGCATCTGATTCCTAGTCCCGAATTTTTGACCCGGTATCTTCCGCTTCCCTGAGAAGCTAAAACAACCCTCCTCAGTTAGATGAGTGGCTGTTTAGTCCTGGGAAGATTGATAATTAACTACAGAGAAAATGAATTAAATTAAACACATGGTATTAATACTTTCATTTAACTCAAGAGAATCTGTGTGTGTCTACAATGTTTAAGAGAATCTGGCAGTCTGTCATAATTGTAAGTTAAAAGACATAGGAGAATTTGATTCAATGTAGAAACTGCATTGAATGTTACAAGACTTTAGAGGCATTCTATACAGGAAGGTATTAGATGTTCAAAAGTTGTTTAAATACTTTGTAAGCTTTTTGCTTATGAAAGTGTTGTGTTTACTGTCAGGTAACTAAAACATGTAAGAAAATCAAACATATTTAAATGTACAAATGTAATTTAAAATCAACAAATTAAAAAGAAAAATTGCTTGTTTACATATAAAACTATCAGATTTATAAACAGAAGAATAGATTTATAAATTAAATTTACAGAGTTAAAAAAAGATAGGTTTTAAGAATTTCCACATTAATATATTCACCTTATTTTCAATCCATGTAACTGCAGGTATTTCTTAAAAGGCAGAAAAGCCCCCCCCCCAACATTAAAAAAAACACAAACTCTCATTATCATAACTAAATTCTTACAGCAACAATAGAAGAAAATGAAATCTCAGGTTTCAAAAAAGTGGTGTTATGTATATTATATTTAAATTGGAAATTTTTTTTTTAATTTTTTTTTCAACGTTTATTTATTTTTGGGACAGAGAGAGACAGAGCATGAACGGGGGAGGGGCAGAGAGAGAGGGAGACACAGAATCGGAAACAGGCTCCAGGCTCTGAGCCATCAGCCCAGAGCCCGACGCGGGGCTCGAACTCACGGACCGCGAGATCGTGACCTGGCTGAAGTCGGACGCTTAACCGACTGCGCCACCCAGGCGCCCCTAAATTGGAAATTTTAAAAAATGTATGCCAATCACATAAAAACTTAGTTTGACATCCCTCTAGAATTTTTTTTTTTTTTTTTTAGTTTATTTTGAGAAAGAGAGAGCACACACACAAGTGAGCAGGGTAGGGGCTGAAAGAGGGAGAGAGAGAGAATTCCATGCAGGCTTCACACAGTCAGCACAGAGTCTGATGTGGGGCTCGAACTCATGAATCCGAGATCATGACCTGATCTGAAATCAAGGGCTGGACACTCAACCAACTGAGCCACTCAGGCGCCCTGACATCCCTCTAGAAATTTGAATAAATTATATCACTCACGAACTCTGGGTCTAAAATAAACTGGACATCAGACAGTAAAAATAAGCACAGTTTAAAATCAGACTCATGGCAAAAATACCATATTGTAGTTCTTTAATCAACTATTGCTTGTAGATACCAAGGATCGACTATAGTCCCCACCCGATCAAGGCTACCTCAAAGGATAATACACACAGGTAGTATCCAAACCTACTTACAATCGGTTCCTTCATTTCCTCATTCATTCATTCATTCATTCCAAAAACACCCATTATAAGTAACTGGTGTATGACAAGACTGCTCTAGGTCCACAGGGAACTCATTTTCCAGACAGGTAATCCTCCCCAGGGCAGGAGCTATTGTCAGAGGCTAGGTCATAAATGGCTTTAACTGTCATGCAAATGAGCTTGAACTTTCAGTCTGGTGGAGTGTGTTAAACTGCAGAGAAACCTGATCTGGTTAATGTTTTTAGAAAATTCACTGGGTTAGCCCTCTGGAGGTTTGTTTAGAGTCCAAAGATTACACAGCCTAAGATTGAATAGGAGACTATTACCATGTGAGAGATGCTGACTTTTATCTATGCTCCGCTGTCAAAATCAGGTGAGCAGAATAAGGGGTCTGACTATTCAGATTCCAAATGTTAGTTCTGGATAATCAAAGTTTAGCTGTAATAAACATAGATTAGAATGTCTACTTTGGGACTTAACCCTGGATGGTCTCTGCTTTTTGGGTTTTTTCTCTTTTGTGAAATGGGAAGAATCCAAGATTAGGTGATGGTTAGAGGTTGCCATGACAGAATTTCCAGTGTCGAGGGTGGTGAGCAAACTGGAGATCCTTCTCGCTGCAGATGAAGAAGGACGCCAAAAGCGTTCAGGTAAGTTGTAGGCACTTCTTGGGACATGGTCTGCAGTGAGTCTTTAATGAAATGTTTATGGTGTTTTGGTAAAGTAACAGTTTCAATAAGGTTTTTCCTCACAACTCACAAAGATTCTTTTTTTAAATGTGTGGGGTTTTTTTTTTTTTTTTTTTTTTGTTTTTTTTTTTTGAGAGAGAGATTGAGAGAGAGCACGAGAGCAGGGGAGTGGCAGAGAGAGAGGAGGGCATAGGATCCAAAGCAGGCTCTGGGCTGACAGCAGAGAGCCCGATGTAGGGCTCAAACGCAGGAACTGTGAGATCATGACCTGAGCCAAAGTCAGAAGCTCAACCGACTGAGCCACCCAGGCACCCCACAGCTCACAAAGATTCTTTGCTTTTTTTTTTTTCCAAAGATTCTTTGCTTGACCAAACTTAAGTCAGCCTCCTCAATCTTCTCCTAAGCCCTTCTGTACACTTCCTTGTAAAATCCAGTGTTAGCAAGAATCTTGCTAAATTAGTTTGGCAAGAAACCCCACCCTTGATATCTGATCATCATGGCCTATTTTTAGCATGGATCCTGTCAAGTACCTTTAGCCAGAGTCACTCTTTGCACATGATGCTTCCTCTCAGTGATTTGCTATCCACCATTCCCTATCCTGTTTCTTGGCTATAAATTCCCATTTGCCCATGCTATCTTCAGAGTTGAGCTTAATTCCCTTCTGTAAGACTCCATGTCGGGGGTCCCTGTACCTATCATCATGGCTCCCTTGATGCCTTACCATCTTCAATAAGTGCTATTGAATAATTTTTTCTTTAACACACCCAAAGGGATGGATGAGTAAGAATCATAGCTGTGAACCTTAAAAGGATCTCTTAGAAGGATCTTCTATTGTGAGAGATGGAAGCTGTTGTCAGGGTTCTGGTTTCCATGTTGGGTGGTGATTTCAAGGGCATTTCTTATTATTGTTGTTAATAGATAGAAGTCCTTATATAGGCACGTAATGAGAACTATGATTAATCTCTCTCTGTGACCCCCAAGTCCAAATTTTATAAAAACAAGAAGAAAATGAGAGAGAAAATGAAAGAGAAAAGAGAAACCCAGTCTTTCCTAGATTACCACTCTTCCTGCCTCTCCCTAGAATCTCTTGATTTATTACCTTTCATAAAATACCTTCATGGCTGTTCCGCTTTGGGTTTTAATCTGAAAAACTGGCTCCCTGTTACTCTTGTATGTAGTTATTATTATCTATGCCTAATGATAATCACATAAAATAAAAATAAACCCCTTTTAAACTACCATTCAACATGCAAATTAGAGTCTTTCTATATGATTTTAACAAATTGAGTATGAAACAACTTCAAATAATTGTGTGTTTCTCTTCATATTGGATGAAGTTTAATCACATATAATTTTTAAAAACCAAAATAACAACAACAAAAAAAATGTGTTAACCTCTCATGTAAAAGAAGTCTGGAAGTAGGAGGTCTGCGTCTGGTCCAGGAAATGGGAATAGCTTCCCAATCTCCTGTCTGTGACAGGTGCAACTGTCAGCCTGCACTCTGAGCGAGGAGCCTAAGTTGGGGCTTGAACTCACGATCCTGAGATCGAGACCTGAGCTGAGACCAAAAGTCTGGATACTTAATCGACTGAGCCACCCAGGCACCCCCTGGGCATTCCTAATGACAGACTCCATGAGAGCGTGACACACACCTCATTCTTATCTCATTCTCATCCACGGTGTTGGCACTGTCAGAGCAGTACTTCAGTAAATACTGCTTGTAAAATGGAGGCTGACTGGATGCTCAGGGGGACAGATGGGTGTTCAGATAGATGGATACAAGATTCCATGGGAACTTAATATCTAGTACCAACTCTGCTGACATAAGAAGAAATCACATGAGCATTCATTGGCTTTACTGCCTTACCTTGTGACCACTGAACAGACGTTTCAGAGTAGGTGTCTGCAAACCAGACTAAGTATTTCAGGCTTTTGCATCGTAAGGTCTCTGCCACAACTATTCAACTCAGGATAGCAGCCATAGACACATGTAAATGAATGACCACGCGCCAGAAACACTGAAATTTGGATTTCATATAATTTTCACATGTCTCAAAATGTCCTTCTTTTTATTTTTTAACCATTCAGTATTATAAAAAACCATTCTTAGTTTGTGGACTGCACAAAAACAGGCAGTGAGTTGTAGTTTGCTAACCCTCAGCCTACAAAGGCAAACTGACCCAGAATTAGAAGCACTAAGAAAGGTAATAAAACAATGAGGTGAAAACCCTGGGAGCTGGCTTTCACTTTTCTTTGGCTTTCCTTTTTCTTCCCCAGGATCACTCCACTTGCCTTTCCTCGGGTCCTCTTCCTCGGAATTGGTCTTCAACCAACGTGCACATTTTCTCATACCACAAGCGTTACATCATTCAGAACGGTTTTGCTTAAAATAGGTTACTGGAATTCTGAAAAACATTTGAGACCCAAAGTAATAGCTTTCTAATGAAGGGCTTTCGTGCACTGAGAGACATCATTTCCTTAATGTGAATAAATCTGTGTGCCCACGTGATGGAATATTATGTTGGCTTCTATTCCTCTCCCAAAAGAAACATGCTTCCTGTTTGCGAGACTTCGGGTAGCCCTGAGGGCAGGAACAGACTTACATACCTCTGCTTGAACAAGTAGTGATGACTTATCTGAGGGGAAAAAATATCCTGCAGTTCTCATTTGGAGACTGAGTTGGCTTGAGGCCTCACTGCTGTTTTTAAGAAGTGCTTAGACTTTAGGTAGTTTCATTCATGATAGGTGAATAAAATAAAAGTTACAATGTATGACAGATTACATTTTCAATTACCACTTAAATGGGCATTTATTATGTACTTAGTGAATACTTGGCTCTTCCACAGTAAACCCTAAGTTATCACCTTCAGCTCTCACCTAGTTATTTTTGGATCTTTTATTAAACCTCTGTGGCCTGTTAACTAAATGATTTCTGAGAGATGAAGCTCACAAATGACCTCTCTCAATGCATGAAAGCCCTTCATTAGTAATGATAGCCACTTTTCAGACATCTCTTTCATAATGCTCTTCTCCCTTTGCTCAGCTCTCTTTTATGTTCTGTGCAAAATTTTTAACCTTCTCATGTAAAAGAAGTTCTGGAAGTAGGCTTACCTCATTCTCATCTACGGTGTTGGCACGGTGTCAGAAGCGCTCTTCAATAAATATCAGCCAAAATTAAAGGTTGGGGATGGGTACTGAACCATCGAAGTCACTCCCGGAAGACTGACGGGTTAAGTGGAAAGAGCCACAGACCTAAATCCCATGCCTGGATAGGTGATCTAGTTTAGCCAAACCTTTCTGATTTTGAATAAATGTTTACAGTCTGGCTTTTGGAATTAGGAAAGGTTGTACTTGGCAATTCTTCTCAAATCTTCCGTCATTTGCAAATTGGGGATGATAATCTGTAACGTCCAGGGTGAAGTGAGATCTAGAGGAACGTTCACTAAGACGCCTGGGTGCAGTGGGGATTCGGGGCGGAAGTGGGGTGTCCGCTCTTATTTTCATTATGGGTGAAACCAGTTCCTTCCAGCGGAGAAAATGCTTGCAAGCCCGCTGGGGCTGCGAACAGCGCAGAGACCTAATCCTTCCAGAATTTCAGTTTCCTTTGCCATGAGCCTGCTTTTCCCTTTCTGCCCATCAGTTGGCGCCTTTTGCCGTGC